GTACGCTGGACGGCGACGACTGGTGTGGGACAACAGTTACTCGGACCCCGCATGGGCCAGGCGGGGTGCGTTGCCTGGGTGCCCCTACGCTATGTTTGTTCTCCAATGACTGAGGCTTGGCCCTTTCGACGCCATGTATTAGCATACCGCCAGTATATCGCGTGCTATCGACTTTTGTCGATGACATCAACTTGTCCATAGCTGGGCGCATTAGCAAAATCATGGACAACAGCCTGGCCATCCTCAAGGCTCTGGTGCATATCCTGGACACCCTCGGGTTGCCGACTGCAAGGAATAACATGAAATTGGCGCCGAGCTCCCCGCTTCTAGGTCGCGCCATATGTCGTAAACTGCAAGGGCTGGGGTACGTATATTGTAGTGCTCTGGAGGTCTTGGGCATTGACATATCCTCGGGACGGGCTCTACGTTTTCACAGGCTTAGGTCGAGAGTACGTGCCGCAGGCAGGCGAGTACCTAGGTTCCGCGCGGCGCGGTGGATTGGCAATGTGACGACACGGTTTGTCAGGCAGGCCATCCCACCAGCAATGACCTACGGAGTTGGCGTCCACGGTGCCCCCGCACCCATTGTGCGACGAATGCGTCAGGTCCTTCGGCAAGCCTGGCACGCCCCAGGCTCTGCCACCTCGGCCTGGCTTACGTCGTGTGTCCAGGGATGCCAGCATGCCGATCCGCAGGTCATCGCTTGGGCAGCGCCAGTCCATCAGTGGGCATTATTATATCACGGCCGTGCGATGACTGATGGGGTACTCCAGATGGCATGGGCTCGGCAGATCCATAGAGTATACAACAACCCCAAGCCTTGGGGTGCTGTCGCGGGCCCCGCTGGGGCCACTTTGCTTGCTACGGGGTTTGGGATGGACCACGTCTGCGGGGCATCTGGTCAGGACTGATCTAGGTGACATCCTGAATTTCAGAAAAGTGGCGCGCTCGACGGTGCTGGTTTTGGCGAAGGAGGCGGCCACCCGGAAGCGTTGGGCACTGTGGGCTTCTCGTGGCGACGGCTCTTGTGAGCCCATGCTGCCCAAAGACCCCCAGGGGTACTGGATTGAGCCGATCGCGAGACCCCTGGGCGAAGAATTTCGAGACTGTACTTTGGATGCTCTGGATTCAGAAGCCGAAGGGCACGAACCCCAGCGAGCTCCCCACTGTCAGCACAGTAGGAACTGGACGCCCGACCAACGAGAGTCGGGCATGCTACGCGCCATCGTCATTGGTGGGATGTGGACACCTGCGCGCTTGCACAAGCGCGGGTACGTGGAGGATTCTGATGCTTGCTCTGTGGCGACGACAGTTGTGGGTCACATCATATTACGTGCGAGTGTCCATCGCTGTATGTTACGCGGGCATCCTTCCTTGCCAGCTTTGATGTACGAGGCTTTCCTGCTTGTGAACACGGGGGCCTGGGCGTGGGATCGTGGCCTCGCGGCTCGAAGTTGTTCCCCCCCCTTCCTCCCAGGAATGAGGGGAGGTGGCGTATTCAATTTGCAGACCCCATAGGCATTACTGGACGTGTTTACACTGACGGGGCATGTCGCAGAGTTTGGCATTGGCCAGAGTGCACGCGGGCTAAATGGAAATTTACACAAGTTTCAGGGCACGGTGCTACATGTATGGCATCTGGCGCACTACCAGGCCCACTGCAGTCCTTGCCGAGAGCTGAAATGCACGCGGCGCTTGTTTAACGGTTTGTGTTCCGCCTGTCACCATTGTTACCGATTCCAAGGGCCTCTTGGGCGGCCTCGCCAAAGGGCCCACATGGTGCCTGGCGGCCAGACGGGGCAATCGAGACTTGTGGGGGGCCCTTTGGGCCAAGATCGTAGATCTTGGAGGCTTCCGGGATGCTGTTGAATTCGAGCTGTGTCGTGGGCACCAGCGAGGGCGGAGCGAGACAGCGAGAGGTAACCGATGGGCCGACGCGGCTGCCACCTGCGGGCGCGATCTTCACTGCGCTTCCTCCGCCTCGCGCAGGGCTATGGCAGTGGTTTTCCGCAACTATAACATATGACTGCAGTGGATGGTTCAGGCGTTTTCTACATGTGGCGAGGCGGGCAGGGTCCCCACCCTTCCCCGCAAGAGCCGCGCCTCACGGCGTGCACAGTCGACCCAGTCCCAGCCTGAGACCGATTGCCAGCACACCTGCGGCGCGTCATGGAGCGCGCCCCACATCGGATGATTTTTAGGTGTGTTTACTGCAGGACTGGGGCCAAGACACCCAAGAGAGTCGATCGTCTCTCCTCTCTCTCCTGCTCTGCTCGCCTGCGGATGGGTGAAGGTGCGTCCGAACTCCTAGACTCGCCCTCGCATGATGAGGGCGCCCGCGTGTCTGCGGCCTCTGGGGGGAGTGGGCGTGGCCAGCTCCCCAACAGCCCTCGAGCTGAAGGTGAACTGATCATGGGTCCTCCCGCTGAGGGGCGTGCCCAGCATGAGGAGGGGGGGGCTCCAGGACGGGACAGTGGCACCCCTGCCGTTGCCTTTCCTGCGTTCGTTGACGTCGACGTGTCGGACCTTTCTCGTGCTACTGGTCGTCGGTCGGTCAGTTCGGATTCGTCGGGTGATGGCCGCCGTGTCCGCAGACGCGTGTCCTTTGACCCTGTGGTGTTGATCCGCTCGCCTGCCCAGGAGCAGCAGGAACGGGCGACCCAGCGTGTCGAGGGAAGAGATAGTGACGGGCCTGCCTTCATGCCATCCAAGCGGCAGAAGGTGGCCCTACGCAACCCCCGCCCCGCCCTGTCTGCCACCACAGTGCCTGTTGCCCCCATGCCTACCAGCGGTATCGTCCCGCCTGAATCGGCTCGGGGGCATAGGTGTTGGGTGTCCCCAGGGGAGGTGGTCTTGTGCATACGGTGTGGTTTCTTTACCACGGGCCTTGCAGGCCACTTACTAATTGATTGCGCGCCCCCGCCTCGCGTTGACCTCATGTCTGAGCGGGCGACGCGCAATCGCAAGTTATTTTTCTAGAGGCGTCACCCTGCTGACGAGGGCCGTCCGAACGGACGTGCCATCCGTCAGCCGCGACCCCTCCGTGTGGATGACCCCGAGACCATCTGGTTGCGCCTTGGGCCTCCATTGGCCCACGGCTAGCTCTTTGGGTTCGGCCCCCCCCCGTTTTTGGGGACCGTTTGGGTCCTGGCCCAAAGTCGTGCTGCCGACCTGTCGCGCAGCCTCTGCTTTTCTCCGTCGTGGCCAGCTCCGCGAACCCTAGGGGGGGAGGCGAGTCGTCACCGACGGCCGAGGCGACGCTTGCGTCTGTTTCAATATCCTGTGGCGGCTCTTGCGCTCTGACTGCGCGGCCGCTCCCAGCCAGTGCCTTATCTTGTCCCCTCTCCTCTCCTCTCCGCCCGCCCGGGTCCGGAGCGACTGTTAGCGATGAGCGCGCCATGGATGCGTTCTCGACGCGATGAGACGCCAGGGGCGGTGTTTTTTATGCGCTGAGCTTGCTATGCCAAGTGCTGGGTTGCTCCCGTCCTTGCTGATACGTGGTGGGAATTCGTATCGTTCGGCTTCTTGGATTTATATTTTCGGGATCTTAGGTTTACGTGATCGTGCACGGAGCTCGGGTTCTGATACATGAGCCGGCACTTGATGCGATCGAGCTACGGCTGGCCTATTACAGGTTGACCTGCGCGTTGCACGCAGCGGTATGGTTTTATTCTTCCCGTCTGCTCTCTCGTGTTCGTCCTCTTCCCTGCTCCCCCCTTCCTCTGCACTTCTTCCCGACCCGTTGAATCATGTGTCGGTTGCGTCTGTGTGGAGATTGCTTTGGCGCTCTGCGATCAGTGCCTTATGGGCTCGTCTGCCGTCGCAAATTCTTGGGCCGTCGGGGCGGTGGTCTGATCGCCGTAGGGGCTGTCTGGCGGCCCCCTGACAGCGGGTCCGGCTTGGACGCGCCCCGAAAAGAGTCAGGACCGCGCAGGGGTTAAAATACGATAATATATTCCAGATTTCGTAATAAAAGGGAGGGGGTCTGGACCCTCCAAGACAAGCCATGTCAGACCTCCCCCGTGGGAGAACCCTCCAAAACATCGTCCCCAGACCCCCCAGGCCCTCCAAGATAGCCTGGAAGAGACCCCCCCCCGAAATGAGACCCCCCTCCTTTATTACGAAATCTGGAGTACGCGTTGCGCATTAAAAAGTTGGGCACGTCGTCAGGATATTTTGGCCCGCGGCCGCAAGGCGACTCAGACCGCGATCGAGGGACGGCGGGCGGGGTGTGGGTATGCACGTGGTTGCACAGGACTGGGGTCAGAGGATACTGCGACGGGCAAGCCAGGTCGGTGCGAGGGGTTGGCCTTCGAAGAGGGCAGGTGGTTCGCTGGATCGGGTCGGAAGCTACGCATTGTTCATTTCTGATTTTTCGAAAGTTCTTTGATCCTTTTATTTCTAATTGTTCTATCCTGGGTCTCTTCCTGGCCACTAGGGGCAAGGAACAATGAGAAACTAGCACAATTTGAAATGAGCACGATTAGAAATGAACGACGTGTACTCAGAAGCATCCAGTCGGCGGAACTGTTTCTGTGGAGCCCTCTGACCTTCACGAGCGGCGAGAGTATCCATTTCCACGCTCTCATGGTCTGGATTCTGAGGCACGATCCCACGGCTACGCGGTCGCACGCATACCTTCTGCACGGGCCATCCGCGCAGAAATGTGCCACGGGCCTTCCAGAAGCGTCCAAACACGTCCTCTCGCCGTGGCTACGGGAACCAAAAGCGTGTAGAAACATCGAAAACGATTTCGTCGACGGGGAGATCTGAGTTCCCTCGCCTTGCCCTTCCCTTCCAAAATATGCCCTCAGCTGCTCACTGCCCCAGCCGTCTGTCCGCCTTTCCTCGGTCGCCGCCGTCGTCGTCGTTCTGTGACGCCGGTGTCGCTGCCATCGCCGTCGCGGCAGCGGCGGTGGTCGCCGAGGGAGGGAGGAGGAACGACAGGAACAGGAGCGTTGCCCTACCCTAGCGTTTGCTCCTGGCCCCTCGCGCCGCAGGCGAGAGCTGGACGCCAGGAACCGAGCGCTGACCAAGGACCGACCAGTTGACATGCTGGGTGCGGGACAGTGCAACGCGTAGGCGCCACGGAGGAATGTTGCAGGAACGCGTCACCTTCGCGAAGGACGGCGTAGGAAGGGCAGGAGACCACCCTATTCCTGATTGGTACCCATCAGGTTGGCGCTGAGGGGGGACCCCGCCCCCACAGTACGGCGCTAGCGAAAGCGCGGCCTACTGTAAGGCCGCGGGACGTGCCAGCCGCGAAGCGGTCAGAAGCGGGCTCTCAGGAGACGATGACGATGGCGGCAGCGGTGCAGCCCCCCCCATTTTGCTGCTGCGCTGGCCGCACGCTCCTCCCGCCGGCGCTGGTAGCGCCGGGCGGGTCCCTCCTTCCGCCACGCGAAGCGGGCCTCGCCGCGGCGCCGTTAGACACCAAGGCAAAGCCCAGGGTGGGCGGGCAAAAGAGGGCCCATTCGGGCCCTGGGAGGGCTTTGAGCCCCGCAGGCTTGAGCGGGAGAGAGGGAGAGAGAAGGGCAGGCAGAGGCAGGAGCAGGGAGAGGAGAAAACCCAAGCCGACTGGGGAGAGCGGGGTCCAACCGTTTAGGACAAACAACTAAGACCCCGCCCCCACAGTACGGCGCTAGCGAAAGCGCGGCCTACTGTAAGGCCGCGGGACGTGCCAGCCGCGAAGCGGTCAGAAGCGGGCTCTCAGGAAACGATGACGATGGCGGCAGCGGTGCAGCCCCCCCCATTTTGCTGCTGCGCTGGCCGCACGCTCCTCCCGCAGGCGCTGGTAGCGCCGGGCGGGTCCCTCCTTCCGCCACGCGAAGCGGGCCTTGCCGCCTTTGTTATAATGATCTGGTGCTGCTGCCAGTGACCCTGCACACTGGCCGCCTGGCGGATTCTACACGCCGGCGTGCTGTGTGGGCGCCCTGATGGGCGTCACCAAAATTGGGTGCCAGGCTCTGTGCCGCCGGCACCGTCTATACTCTGAGTCGCGCGCCGCCTGGCGTATGCGCCGGCGTGCGCGTGGGGCCCAACTGGCCCTCCTGTCTGCCGACTGCCGCCAGGCAACTGATGCCGGCGCGCGCGGCTGTCCTCCGCGAGGTTAGGCCTTGGGCTCGCGCCGGTGCATTGATTGCCGGCGGAGCCTGACCTCGGGCCAAGGCCCGAAGATGCCATCGCTGGCGCTCGGCACAGGCCGGTGCTTGGCACCCCCGTCCGCGCCGCGGCCTCCAGATCTCCCGGCTCCCCGCCCCTCCACGAGTGCTCGGGGCGGGCAGGGTCCGGCCCCTGACAGAGGGGGTTCCCCGGGCCGGCGCTGGGGTGCGGGCCTGTGCCTGCGCATGAATTCTGGTGCTGCGGCCACGCTGGGCCGTCAGATTGCCAGCTACTGTGCCTTAAGCTGACGTCAGTGCGCCCGGCGCGACCAGGCTTGGCAAAGAGAGCCGGCGTGCCAGGCAGGCTTCAGCATGGCCCTTGTCCAACGGCTGCAAGGGGACCCGCAGTATCCCAGGCACTGGTGGGGCCCCGACGGACGGGCCTGTGCGCGTGCGCTCGCGCCGAGGTATTGGCCAGTGCCGAAGGCACGGGTGGGTGTGCCCTGCGAGCGCGCGGCTGATCCGCCGGCGGCGCAGGTGGTCGGGTTACGGCACTCAAGCGCGCACGGCGGGCAGGCCGGCGGCTTGGGCTGGGCGCGCGCCAGGTGTGCAAGCACCGGCGGCGCCCGCTGCGGCCCCCTCATGGGCTCTCACGCCTGGCGCTCTCAGCGCCGGCGGCAGCTCTGCTGGGGGCGCTGTCCTTCGCCGGGTTGGTCAGCTAGGAGGTGTCCCTGGCCATCTTGCAGGAGATGCCCTTCATCGACTCGTGCGACTCCCACAGGTAGCCGTGGAGCGCGTCCGACTGCCAGCGCCCGAACCGGCGCACCCGGGAGAGGTCCTCGGTCACGTGGTACATTGCAGTCGCCCCGCCGATCCTCAGAGAATGGCTGCCGATTTCCTCTCTAGAGAGGCCGGCGGCCAGCCCCGCGACCGCCAGGAAGTGCTGCACCTCGGCCCTGCGAATCGGGGTACCTGACGCCCAGCGGAAAAGGGGCAGCCGTTCCTCGGTGTCCTTTATCCGCTGGGGATGGTGAGCCTGGAGCCGCTCCATCGCCGCGATCGGGCAGAGCGTCGTGCCGGCGCGGTAGTGGTTCCTCACCGTCCCGACGTTTACGCCCTCCCCATGCAGCACGCGCTCGAAGGATCACGAGCGCCCGTCCTGGAGGAGGTACTCTGAAGCCCTCAGGAGGAAGAAGAACGCTGTCACAATGGCCGCCCAGATGACCACCGCGTCCTCCTCGGGGAGCTTGGCTTCTTGCTGGAAGAAGCCCCGGAGCCACTCGAGCATGGCTGGCGTGACGGGCTTCTTCCGCTTGGTCTCGGGCCCCTGCCAGCGTTTTAGCCCTGCCAGGGTGCCCCAAAGGCGACCCCTGTGGAGCAATGGATCCGAGTAGCCGGCCACCAGGTGGGCGTAGCGCACCGCGAAGAGCTTCTGCTTGATGGCCCCCTCGGTCCTCCCAACGACCCGCGCTAGGAGGACGGCGAAGTTGATGAGTGCCTCCTCGTCGGCCAGGCGCTCCTCGCGATCGCGTCCTGGGAGCCAAGGGCTAAGCCTCTGCGCCTGGCGCACAGCTACCCAGAGCCGCCATCCTCCCTCGTAGCCTGCCCTCGTGCCCTCGCTTAGTTTCTGCAGCATGGCCTCCATCTTCTGCTGCGCGAACCAGCTGGCGTAGTTGGCCCCGCCTGGCTCAGCACGGCCGGCGGGGGCGAGCTCCTTCCCGGGGTAGTTGCTCTTCCGCGCTACGCCAAGCGCCTGTGGCTTCGCCAGGTTGGTCGCCGGCATCTCTTCGGCACGTCGGGGGCTCTTTTTACGAGGGCTCTTCGAGCGAGTCACCCTCTTGTCCAGCTTGACCTTCTCTGCGGCCGGAGCTTCGCGGGGCCCGATGAGCGCGTCCTCATCGATCATCTTGAAGCGGACTGCTTGGGCACGCCGGCGATTCTTGTGCATCTCATCAGTGAGCGCCCCTCCTGCCCTCGCCTCGTCCTCCGCTGCCACCGCTAGTGCGGGCTGATCCGGTGCCTGTGCCCAAGCGCGGAACCAGCGCTTGGTAGCATCCCACGCGGCTTGTTCCTCTGGATCATGGCATACTCCGGCGCGCTGCGTGCTGGTACTGTCGAGTGCTTCCGCCACCGCGGCCAGCACCGCCTCCGCGGTCCTCGGTGGGAGCGCCCTGGCTGCGCCCTTCAAGAGCTCGTCCTCCGTGGAGCCCTGGGTCCGCAGGTGGGTCCACTCGTCGTTGGTCCCTCCCTGCGCTCGCCAAACCTCCTGGGGCGTCAGGGCACGGACCGTGCCCCCGCCTCCCCCGGTGACTCGGAGGAGCGTTGCTCCGGGTCCTTGGGGTTCTGCCCCCGGCCAACGGATAGTGCCCACCGGCCCCTCTTCACTGTAGATCAGGTGCTTCACTCCATCCTTCTTGAGGTGCCCGACCGGCTTGAGGAGGAGGGGGTCGCTGGTGGACTGGATGCGGGGGTCCCATGACACCTCGCCCTGCTGGTCGAGCCAGAGGTGGTCCTTTCCCTTGTCCAAAAGCGGCTTGACGCTGGCAGCTCGCGAGCAGGCCGGCGGCATGTTAATGCGCGCCAGGCCCACCCCCGCTTTCCGACGCCCGCCCGTGAGCACCTGCCTGGTCCGCGTGGTGGCATCCCCGTGGTGCGTGCAGACCACCTCAAACTTCGAGATCATGTAGCCCAGCTGCTTGAGTGCCTTCTCGAACCTGGCCGTATCCACCCCGGTCGGGGCGTCCACGACCAGCATTTCAGGGCTCTCACGGGTCGCTGCAACGAGGAAGGCCTCCATCTCTCTGCCCCTGGGGTCCAGAGACAGCGACGCCACGAGCCATCCTGCTTTCTGGTTCTCCTCGGGTTCTGAGCCACCGAGGCGCTTGAGGGCTTTCGTGCACGGGTTGATGAGGCTTCCCACTTCTCTGCCCAATTTCCCGCGGAGCGGGAGAGGTCTCGGCAGCCCATGCCCCCGCTGAAGTGCTCGGTGTCGAAGGGCAGCCTCGGCCACGGGACCCGTCTCTCCTGGGAGTCTGAGAAGGCGCTCCTTGGCGTCCTCCAGTATCTGGCCCCAGGCTGCGGGGGGCTCGAGGAGCTCCCAGCCTGAAGTGGCCAGCGTGTCGTGAACCTTCTTGACCTCCTCGCGGGTAAGCCAGTCGGCCACTTCGATGTGGTAGGTCCTAACAAAGAAAGAGACGATGCGGCACCCGTGCATGGCTTCGATCCTCTCCACTAAGCGGATCAGGTGGCGGGCGAAGGCGTTCTTGGGGCTTCTCTTGGTAAGCCATGCCTTCACATTCTGGTTGTCTGTGACGTAGAACACCAGCTCGCCTTCCCACTTCGAACCCTGCTTCGTGGCCAACGCGATCACCGCCAACAGCTCGACCACCGCAATGATTCAGTCCTCCTCGCTGCTCTCGCCCCCGACCGCTTGACTCAGGGCCTCGAGCAGGGGCCCGGCGTCCGCGGCCATGTACTCCAGCGTCGGCGTGGCTCCTCCTGCGGTTGCGCTCCCCCAGTCGATGGCGCCGATCGAGGAAGTGGTGGCATCGCCACCGGTCCACCGCGTGGTGCGTGCTGTTCCCGGCAGTGCGAGGCGTTCGCGCACTGAAAGGGCCTGCGTGAAGCTGGCCTGGAAAGTCGTGCTCCAAGCTTCGGGGACGTCGAAGAGCACCCTCAGAAAGCCCACAGACGCGTCCCACTCCTCCCAGGCGAGCTCGACCTCTTCGGGCGTACCCTTCGGCTCTGCCCAGCTCGTCCCGCTGCTCAGGAGCCGGTCCAGGGCAGGTAGCTCTGGGCGGAGGGCAGGCTGTGCCGAAGCCCAGAACTGGGCACAGCCTCGCAGCTCTTGTGCGACCTTCAGGGGGGCCCGCCTTGATCCCCTGAGCTCCGGGAGGGCGAGCAAGTACTGGGCCTTGATGCACTTGGGCTCTGGGA